TCGACAATCGGGTCAAAACGCGTCGAAATTCAAATTTCACCAAATATTGACCCGCGATCGATCGTCACAAGTGGTTAACTCGAGCATTCGACAAGTAACAGCGGAGGCAATGTGAATTGCGGCGATCGGACACGTCGACTCTCCGAATTGCAAAGCTGGTGCGCGCAGGAGTGCGAATTGTGCAGAAGGTCAACCTAAGGCTCGGAAAGGTCCTATAGGAATCCATTTTGGGTTTCCTCATGTCGGTTTCATCCTTCTAAGTGTTAGAAGTCGATACCGCACACGCGAAACTCCAAAAGAGGACGGAAATAGGTCGAACTAAAACAAGGCGGGCACCACTTCTAAGGTTCTAAGATAGTCGCAGGAAGACCCCTAAGGCTAGATCCTAACTCCTATGAGGAATACTAGACCTCACGAAAATTGAGGTCAACACATCCAAACTTCAATCTTTACATTCAACCCGCTCAATTCTTATGTATTACATATCTAATATAATTTCCACAAAAATATAAAAGGGAAAGCCCTAAACAGAGAAAATAACTTTACCTAGCTTGTATACAATATCAGAGTGGATAAATACTTGTCTAAGCTGTGAAATCACCAGTGCAAATGCCCCCGTAGTTGTCTTATGCTCGGTGGAGGAGGAGTCATCGGAGCCTTAACCAAAGAGATGAACCAAACAATAGAAGCGCGAATGAGACTAGTGGGCGCGGGAATAAAATTTTAGGGCTTGTGTGTCGCTTTTACATTGGCATTTACCAATGTAAAAACATTAGTGTTGACATTATCTCCTCCGATTAGTCGAAGTTATTAAGATATAATGCGTCGAACTTATTCGACACGAATGTCAACACAAACCGTTAATGTTGGCGTATCATCGATGGTAAATTTTCCATAATAAGCTTCATCGGAAATCTGACGTAAATTCAATGCAAACTTTGCGTCAAAAATTATTTAACGCGAAAATGAACGCTAATAGCCAGCATTCATGTACCGAGTAGAGAGAAATCTATGCCTTGGTTTTATGGTCAAGTATGATTAGACAGAAATTGTTTGCATGGTGAAGAGACAAAATTGAGGAGGGAATTTTGTATGTTTCATTTTTTATTAAATTATCCAAATGACATCCTTTTACTCCTATTTGTTGAAATTGTGTTGGAAAATCAAATCAATTTGATTTCAAATCTCGATAAGCCCTAAAAAATTATCATGTAATTTAAAATAATGAATATCTTAATAACTAAACGTTACAAAATAAATAAATGTTATATAATCCAACATGTTGGAAAATTATATAAATATTTTCATATTATTTTCATGCATATCTTATACTGCGTCAGATATTGTAGTCAATAAAATTTTGAATATTATGAGTATGTTGAATGATTGTATGAGAATCATTTTGATATTAATATTAAGAATGATTTTTATGTTTCATTTTTTATTAAATTATCCAAATGACATCCTTTTACTCCTATTTGTTGAAATTGTGTTGGAAAATCAAATCAATTTGATTTCACATCTCGATAAGCCCTAAAAAATTATCATGTAATTTAAAATAATGAATATCTTAATAACTAAACGTTACAAAATAAATAAATGTTATATAATCCAACATGTTGGAAAATTATATAAATATTTTCATATTATTTTCATGCATATCTTATACTGCGTCAGATATTGTAGTCAATAAAATTTTGAATATTATGAGTATGTTGAATGATTGTATGAGAATCATTTTGATATTAATATTAAGAATGAAATTATGTTTATGATTACGATAGTTATAGAGTTTGTCAAATTTTGTTTCTTTTAGTGAAATTGTAGAAGAAAGTAATAAGAACGAATTTGAAAGTTTTTGTCAATATTAGAGGATCAATTTGACTTCCTGCTAAGAAGATTTTTATTTTGAAAGTAGTTTTTTTGTAAAAGCTTAATGAAAAAGCATACTAAGCAAAGAATGAATATTCATATGATTTTTATTTGATTTCTATATGACATAATTAAGTGCCACGAGAATTATTTTGCTGCATCAAAAAATATATATCAATGTATGTTAAAGTTAGTAAAGGCGCTAGAGTTAGAAGTTTGTACAAAGTGATTGAAGAATTTTCAAGCCTATTAGGATTAGATAAAGAATTAGCATTCAGTCCATATTATTTTGTATTAGTTGTGAAAATGTTTATAAAAGATATTCAAATGAGATCATTTGTTGTAAGTTTATGCAGCTGACATGTTTTCAATTGGCGAGTTAAGTATATAGAAATTCAGAATATTGAAGAATATATTTTGAATATCAAAGGCTTTGGATTAGTTTAACAAAAAATTATGAGTATGTGACATACAATTCTAGGGGATATTATATTAACAAGTATCAATGAATATTATTAGAAAAAAGAGTAGTACCCATTGTGATAAGTTTAAGTATATTTGTTCGATTATACAAACTAATGCAGATAGATGAGGATATCATTTCTAATGTTAATTTTTGGTGGTTAAAAAGGGTAAGTGTTTTAATATTATGCAATAAGTGTACATCATGGAAAACGAGCAATGATATATAGAATCATGGGAAGTAAAGAAGTTTGGCGGCAAAGTTAAGTGTAACAGAAATGTGAATGTTTAAGATGGTTTGAAATAAAGAATTAAATCTTTTGGACAATTATTATGAATGATAGAAATTGCACTTATTAGGTGGTAAATAAATTAGTGTCAAATGATTACGAAGGAAAATGATAGACTAAAGGCAATACGAATAAATGTTAAAAAAATTGCACATTTGAGTTTAATATTCAACGTAGCACTCAATAGGAACAAATATAAGTGCTTAGGTGTATAAAATATGGATCTATTTTTTTATTGTGGCATTGTAGTATAAATAAAGCAATATTTATTTGTTTACATGACTAATGCATCTTCTTGCTGTATTGATTCAGGTCTTGTGGATCCTACAGAGCTTGTAGCTAATATTGAAGCTCAGATAATGAAGGCCAGAGAGGAATCAATAAGCAGGAAGGAGATTTTGGACAGGATAGGCAGATGGCTTGCTGCTCGTGAAGAAGAAAATTGGCTTGAAGAGTACAGCCAAGTAGGTTAATAATAATTATTGTTGGTACTTTATATGTTCTTTTTCTATTTTAAGTTCCCTTGTTAATAATTTTTTATCTTACCATGTGCCTTTTTATCATGATAATCGTCTCCATTAGCCTTTTGAAAATTATTTAGGATTAGCTTTATGGATTCTCTATTTTATTTTTGGTAGTACCACATAAAGTTTCGATTGGATTTTAAGCAAGTCTTTTTACACTTCTACTCCATGTTTTATCACCTTTTTCTCTCCTATTGTACCCACCTATGTTTCTAGAGCAATTTCTTCCCTTTGCTCCACATCGTAAGTTTCCTCAATTTATTTTTCCTATCTTATTCTCATTATTTTCTACTTTCATTCTCTTGCCAAAATCATCATTATTAACTTGTATCGTCAACTTTATATTCTCATTTTTCTCATATTCAACTGACTTATTTGTCTGTAACGGCTGGACTTCAAGTAGATTATTGTTTCAGATGTAGTTTTATAAAATCCATCTTTTAATCTCCATTATTCTGTTGTATCATATTGTGCATTAACCTCCCAACTTCAACTTTTCAAATCTCTGTGATACTCTTTTATTACATGAGCTGCTGTGATTCTTGTGATCTTATCTTTCTTATATTGTGGAAGTTAGACCCTCAATATTTCTAATTTATACTCTGCCAAAAATCTTAACCTCAAATGATAAGTAGCTTACTTTTGAGTCAGGATGGGAATCGATATAGTGCAGGGAAAGGAGCTCACCTAAACCTAAAACGTGCAGAGAAGGCACGTGTGACTGTAAACAGAATTCCAGGTATCTCACTGCACCCTATTTCACATCACCTTGATAATTAAAGCCTGCAAAGTATGCTATCTTTACTTATGAGACCTCTCTTTCTAGCTATTTTAGACAATCTTATTCTCAAAACCTTTGCTTGGGAGGGCCAGAAAAGGATGCCGTTCTTGTATGATGGGGTGAGTAGATTTGTTCAAGTTTCACCACAAACTAGTTCTTTTCAGGATTAACTTTACCTATTCACGCAATTTTAGTTCTTCAGGTTCGTTTAATCTCTATCCTTGAGGAATATAGACTGAATAGGCAGCAGAAAGAAGCAGCTAAAAGGCAATACAGGGTAACTATTGTTTGCTCTTTATGAACTGAAACAAGGACCATTACCATAACCCATCGCACATCTTGTCTTCTTTCCACAGGAGCGCAAGAAGTTACACAGTTATCTAGAAAAAGAATCTTTATATGGTTCCCAACCAAGCCCAAGGAGGCATAGCAGTTTTGATTCAAAGGCAACTGGGTATCATATGAATGGAAATAGACCCGTGACCCAGTCTCCACAAAAGCTCACTTCTGGCTGTACAACTCCTGGCTTTCGGAGACCTCAGTCCTATTCCAGCCACCAACCCTTCGGGCATATTAGAAGGCTATCATCACCGCATTTAAATTTTATCAACTTACCAAGAGAAGATACCTCATCCTCCTTTGCATCCATCAGTGGTTCGGAACCCGAAGCTTTATCACTTGGCTAGTATTGACTGGTAAGTTCCCCCTCAGACTTTTACACTTGACTGATTTAGCAATTCCTAACTATATATGAACCTTATGTCATCATCATTGGATTGTTCCCAACTATCCTATGCAGTTGGCTTTCATAAAAAAGTAATCCCATGAACTCTTAAAGCTTAATAACTTATTTCTTAGCAAAAATAGTTTAATTAGCGTCAATTTTGATTCTAACTTGTTCATTGGACATTATTTTTAGGAACCAAATATTAATGTTGTAGATTAAAAAACGAGAATTCTAATTTCAATCCTTAATTTCTTTTTTTCGGTTTTATCATTGCTTAAGATTAAATTGTTCGAGCGCCAATTGTTGTCATGTATGTTTACTAGAATTTATTATGCAAGTAGATTACTGCTAAGGAATGGGATTTGTGTTTTTTTCTTCTTCTTTATAAGGATACTTTATGCGCAATGGCGGATAGAAGGGCTCCCAAATTTTATTTTCTTGATCCAATCCACTCTTGTCCCAAAAATAAAACTACAAGTCTCATGCCTTACTCCACAAGCCCCTCCGACCTCATTCCAACCTCCTTCCTGGTCTCCCAGTGAACAAACCTACCCAGCCCTCACCATCACAATGGCGGTGAAGTAAGAGAATTCCCACTCGATCTTCCCATTGCAGCGCTGCCAAATTTTGCCCTAGTAATTTTTCTTTCTATTTCCCTTTTTTTTTTATTTAAATGTTTTTTGTCAACAAGTAGCCATTGGTGTTTCTCCATCATTGTTTAAAGTGGAATGCCTGAAATTGGGGGATACATACTTGGTTGATTGGTTTGTGTGTAAAGAAACCTTATAACATATAAAGTTTACTGAGATTGATTAAATATGTAGTTTTTTTAACATTTTTATTTACAAAAGCAAAATAATTTGTATTTTACCGTTCTGGATTAATTATCGATCAGTCAAGTCATCATTTATATCATTTATCTAGGTTATATGCAGTATTATAAACTTAGCATCTTTTGTTTGTTATTATTTATATTACTATCATTGTGAAATTAACTTTTTGTTTGAATTTCTAGATAGATTCAGTTTTGATTTTCAATCTTAACTGCATTTATATCAATTTATATTGATCCATTTAATTACTAAATAGCTAAATTACTTTATTATTTTAGTCATTTTTGGGTCCAAAATTTAAAAAATCAATAATATGATCTTTTAACTGAACCATGAAAGGTTTTGAATGTCGGTTGTAAGAACAGTGTAGCTTTGTTTATGTTACTAATTTCACGCATAATTGTGTTTTTTTGTTGCTCTTCTTTTTTCATATTTAATGTTTTTAATTTGTTTTATTAGGTTTGACTTAGTTTTTTTTTTCAAATTTACTGATTGAGGACGGGCATTTTTGATTTTTCTCATACTATAGTTAATAATATATGTTATATCAAGTAGTTGATAAAGAATCGACAATGAAATAGAATAGGAGTGTGATTGAATGATACATTACTCACTTATATAAAAAAGAAATATTAATTTTCATCAGTAATAATATATCATTGAATAATTTTAGAATATGAAGGTTGGATGTTATAAATTGTAAGCTTTTTAGATCATTATTATTTTATCATTTTATATGAATAAATTCTAAGATTTTTTTTTTAAACCGTCAATGCTGGTCTTAAACCTGAATGAATAAAATTGAGGGAATTAATATATATATATATATAGATATATATATATATATATATAGATATATATATATATATATAGATATATATATATAGATATATATAGATATATAGTTTGTACACTTGTTTCAAAAATTTTCTGATTATTCCATTGTTTATATTGTCTCTAATGTGATTTTTATCAGTATTAACTTTATCTCTTGCCCTTTTTACTTGCTCCTGTTGACTGTTGTATGAAGTGTTTACTTTTGTTTTTATTATTACTCGAATCATTTTGCATAATTTCCGTTTTACTTTTGATGCACTATTTTTTTCCAAATTATGCTGTATTAATTATCTTTTTTCCTATTGGATTTCGTGAACATTCTTCTCCATTAAGCACGCCCATTGAACCCTATCACGGACCTGCAATGCTCTATGGCGCTGAATGTTGGCCTTTATAAGAGAAGCATAATCCTAAGTTAAGTGTGTTGAGATGAGAATGATTAGGTGGATGAGTGACTCTACACTTAGAGACAAAATGCGAAATAAATATATGTGTGATAGGGTTGGTGTAGCTCCAGTGACACACAAAATTAGAGAGAGCCGTCTTAGTGGTTTGGTCACATTAAACGTCGACCATTTGATGATCTGATTAGGAGAGTAGATGTTTTAGATTCGACTTATGTTAAAAAAGGCAGAGGTAGACCTAGAAAGACTTGGGCTTATTGTATAAAAAATGATCTTAATTTATTAGAAAAAATATGACACTAAATAGGATGCAGTGGGATTAAGTCTTTGTTGTTGTTGTGTCTCTTCAAGAGTTGCTAACCTCATAATCTCCTTAATCTATTCATTATGCATCGTTTTTATTTTGCTATAAACCCATCTTAGCATTTCTCACTATTGCTGTAGTTTAAGTTGGCTATTAATGAAACGTTATCATCTAAGAAAAAATTACAGACGCACTTCTTTTATCTCAACCATGATCTTAATTTACTATATATACTAGTTTATTTATTGAATGAGGCTTACAGCAATGTTTTATTTCTGCAGGAAATGCTCATTATGGAATGGGAATATCGTGAATGTACAGTAACTAGCATTGCCAGCTTGTTACTTTCGATAACAATAGGAGCAGGTAGTTTACAATGGTCCAGGTTTTGCTGACATTGTAATATTTCTATGAGCTCGTTGTTCATTCGCTGAGAGCAGCACGTTGATTCTGTTAAAGGGTTGTTCTGCTTTGTAACTATACTTGATTTTTGTATTTTGTTATTATATAAATAGTATCGAGATTTTGCATACACTGGTGGAACTAGAATTTAGAGAGGGAAGATGAAATAAAAAGTTTAGGGTCATGAATATATAAGTTTAAATTTTTTTTAAAAAAAAATTAAAATTGTTATAAGTGTGATTATTAGTTAAAAATATAGTTAATATGAAATTATTGTTAAGTTTTAAATTTTATGATAAAAATTTTAATGTATTATATAATATTAAAGAATTTAGAAAAAATTTAGGGGTCCTTAGTTTTATTTTGTGTACATGTGTCACGACCTAATTTGATGCAACTCGTCATATCGAGGTGGGTTTGCTCATATTGAGGTCATAACATATGAAATATTATCCAATATTTATTTGAAAGGAATATTACTTATTTATTTTTTCAATTTCCATAAACATAATCACTAATATCATCAAGTATTATAAAATAACATTACACAAAATTTAGTCAGATTATATCTCTATATAATAAAAAAAAATATGTACAACGATCGTGATTTAATATTTTTATCATCAAAATATAGACAACTTGATTGTCAAAAATTTAGATATAAGATATTGGCATACATAATATCAGGTTATCAATTGTAATTATGTTTTTTCTTTTTTTGAAATAATGCAAGCGAGTAAGGTAAGGGTGAGTTATCACAACCAGTAGGTTGCTCAAAATATATATTAAAAATATAGACATGTATTCAATGTAACTGAACCTAATATGTCAAAATATCATCTGTAATATCTATTGCATTGCTAGTGCCAAGAATTTAAAACTACAACAAGCATATGTTGAGGAGTATAAACAATATAATATAATAAATACAGTAAAATAACATGAAAATAAAAAAATTCATTATTTATTTAAATAATTTAAAATTTTGTATTCGTCTCTTATACCTTAATTTCTACTTATAACTCTACTTGTTCATATTTTCGTTTCTTATAATTTCATTTTCATTTATAGCTCCACTATTTCATATATGTTCAAGCGTACTAAATGCTCAGATGAATAATCACATAGAATCTAAAAGTCCTCTTACTCTCGTACTCTCTAATCATTGTTGGGGATTATGAAATTTGGTTTACGGGTTTATTGAGTTCATTTCTGATCTCTTACTCTCAAATGAATCACTAAATACATCAATCTCACTGCTGCTAAGATCACTAACAACCTTGGACTTGTCTTATTGACATGTTTTTGGGGGGTTATTTGAGCTGTTTGGAGGGGGTTACTTCCCGCAATAAGTTCGCAATAATTTTTGGGTTAGAGGTGTTCTCTGACTTTGAAAAAATTAGAGGACTTTTCTAATTATGCTCCAGGGGTTTTAGTTAATTTAAACTAAAATATATGTAAATGTTTTCAAAGTTTGGTTCATATTGTTCTTCTTTGTTCAAGGAGCACAGGACTTATTTTATTTTATTTTTATGATTTTTCTGTACTAATATATCAATTTTAGATTTGTATTTAATTTTATGGAATTATTTAAATCAGAAAATCCAGAATTTCTTAACTTAACCACTCTGACGTCGTGTCATCCTCGACAGATCCAAACTCCATGCCTGCGGTCGTCACTACACTAATGCCGCAAAACAAATTAAATAAAACTGTAATAAAACTCGAATAATACCAGGGTAACATCAGTGTAACACCAGGATAACACTGGGAAAACACCATGATAACTCCACAAAACCATGTGGCGGGTTATTGAGGGGTTATTGGGGCGTTATTGGAGTTGTTCTGTGGGGGTTATATAAGTGGAAACACGGAGGTTATTGGAGATGTTCACCGCACGCTATTATTAGGGGTTTATTGCGACATTACTGAAGCGCTTATTGGAATTGTTCTGTTGGGGTTATTGAATCGGGACTACGACGTTATAATGAGAGGTTATTGCAAAGTTATTGCAGTTGTTCTACAAGGGTTATTGAAATGGAACTATGGAGGTTATTACAGCGGTTCACCGCGTGATGTTATTGAGGGGGTTATTGCAGGGTTATTGCAGTTGTTCTGGAGGGGTTATTGAAGTGGAACCACGAAGGTTATTGGAGCGGTTCGCGCTATGTTATTGGAGGGTTATTACGATGTTATTAGAGTTATTCTACATGAATTATTGAGGTGGAACCGGGGAGGTTATTGAATTGGTTCACCACGTTATATTATTGAGGGGTTATTACGATGTTATTGGAGTATTATTGGAGATGTTTTGCGGGGGTTATTAACATGGAACCACAGACATATTGGAGATCGGTTAATGGGGGTTATTGCGGCATTATTGGGGGTTATTATAGAATTTTAGGAGCATTTACATTCATAGCCGTTTAGGATTCACGTCAGTCCTATCACTCTTTAATCAGTTATTAGTCAATTTACAGATACTGGAGCTATAGTTGATCTAAATTATTTACGCAATTATGCAATTGTGAAATAAAACTAATGCAATTAAGCTATTCTGGAAAACCAAATGTAAATAAAAAATTGCATAAGTAATGCCTACAGTATTGGTAGATTTAATATACTTATTTTTACACACTATTCTACAAAAAAGAATAATGTAATTGAATATTTTGCTGAAAACTATATCTCATGTATGTAACCCATCATTAATTCGATATATGATTCTGTGGGTTGTGGTGTAAACCAATTCTGTAATGTTGGAATAATCATGAGTGAATGTTTATGGACGGGAATATATATCTTTAATGATTTGAATGTAGGTTATATCAACTCCTTTCATTTCTAGAACTCACCAAAGAACTTCTCTTGGGACCTTATCGTAAGCTTTTTTTAAATACATCCTCCTTTCTATGTATTTCTCCAACAAACCTCTCAAAAGATTTATAGCTTCTACATTGTCCAACATAAATCCAAATTGATTATGAAAAATCTTTTTATCACTTCTTAACCTATGTTAAATTACTTTCTCTCATAAGTTTAATGTATGACACATTAACTTAATTCCTCTATAATTTGCACATTCTTTTTGCATCCCATTTATTCTTAAAAATGAGGACTAAAATACTTCTTCCGCTCCCCAAGCAACTTTTTAGTTTTAAAATAATATTTGAAAGTTTAATAAGTGAAGAAACTTCTAAATCTCCTAAGTTTTTTACACTTTTTTTGGAATATCATCAGGTAGTATTGATTTTTCACTATTGGTTTTCTTTAAAGCCTCCTCAACTTCTTTTTTAGTAATATGACGATAAAGATAAAAAAAATTTATTATTATTAATGATATTAATATCATTAAGGCTGGTCGTAATTTTAAAAACTTTATTAAAAAGATTATCAAAATATCTAATCTATCTATTTTGATTATCTTCTCCTAAGAAAAGTAATTTTTTATTTTCAATTTTAATAAACTTTACTTGAATTAGATCCTTACTTTTCTTTTCTCTTTTTTTGACTACTTTATACATACATCTTTTATCATCTTTAGTATCTTATTCATTATAAAAATTATTAAAAACAGAAGTCCGATATCACAAATTATTCTCTTGGACTCTTTATGGGCCACCTTATATTTTTTTCAGTTCTCTAAGATTTTACATTTAAAACAATTTTTATCACAAAACTCTTTTATGTTTTATCTTTTCTTGCACATTATTATTCTACCACCAATTATTTTGTATTTATAATTTTTTTTTTCTTTTTATTCTCCAAGCACATTTTTTCCCTTTGTTTAATAATGCTTATTACTTTATCTCACAAAGAAGTAGCTTCTTTATGAACACTCCAAATCTTAAAATCTTGAGGTTTACTCATCAATATAGTTTTATTTGTCTTTTAGGTGCATCAATGTAATCCTATGATAATATGTTATTGCATTTTTTTTATCATCGAACTCCTCTTCTTTAAATCCAGAATTGATAATTAATGTTGAGTACTTAAATTTTTACTTGGAATGACCTTACAATCTTTACATTCTCGACGATCCATTTTTCCCATAAGAAAATGGTCAATAAGTGCTTTATCAGATCCATTTTTATAAGTAATAATATGCTCATCGCTTTTCTTAAATAAAGTATTGACAATAACAAATTCATAAGCTCAAACAAAATCTAACATAGTTTCAATTTCTTCATTAATCACTCCAAAATTATAGGCTCCATGAATATTTCTAACATCTTCCACTAATCTACCAACAGGACCATTTAGATTTCCTCCAATAAAAATTCATTCTTCAAGATGTATCATTTGTATTAATTCTTCAAGGTTTTTATTTTTTATTTTTTGAACTTATATTTAAACCTACTCGAGGAGCATAAACACTTATAGCATTAAAAATCTTAGTATCAACAACAATCTTTAAGGTTATAATTCTATCTCCAACTCTACTAATTTTTACAATACTATCTTTCAAGCCCTTATCTATAATTGAACTTACACCATTTCTAGTGTGAATATTACCTAAATATTAAAGTTTAAAACATAAGCTATCAAAATGCTTAGTATTTTCTCTAACTCATCTAGTTTCTTGAATGTATAAGATATTTCTATTCTTAATATTTACTAGTTTCATTAATTTACCTATGAGATTATATTCCAAGATCTTATCATAATATTAGTTTCATGGATTAACTTCATGCATTTGTCCATAATATGGGAACCGTTGCTTATTTAACACTACACCCGAGCTCTATTTTAGGAGCTATTGCACACTTTTTCACTGTATTCAGGCCATACAGTGTATCGCTTCAAGGGGATGCTCTATCATTTACATAATGATTTACAAGATTCATCTTATGATTATTCGACAAAAATTTTATGCCGATTGTTGACTATCTAATACATCCATCCATCTTTTGCAGACGAGGCTTAGGACTGAGCAATGAAAGATCTTATCATAATATAAATTTTTATAATAAAATGAAAAAGCGATATAATGGTAATTACAGAATTTGTTATATTGTTTAACATTCACTTTATATAATATAATTTATAAGACTCCAAAACTCTTAGAAAAATAGTTAATAATATAAATAAGAGAGAGTCAGAGGGAGTATATTACTCTTATTATTATAATTCCAACTCAGCCTAGAGTTTATAGTTTGACTCAACAGGTGCATACAGTTGGTGATTGGTCAATACCAACTATAGTGTTTAAGGTTTGCAAATTTCTTAGCATGAATGCATGACATGTTATTATAGGAAGTTTGTTATCGGCTTTTCATGGATTGTAGTTTCTCCAATTATAATAACTCAAAAGGCTGTTCTTTTAGATTGAACACCTAAGTTTTAAGCTAGTTTTTAGAAGTTGAAGGATTGCTTGGTTTCAAAGACTATTCTGATAATTCTAACTGATGACGAGGGGTTTTCAAGACTTCACTGATGCTTCTTTAAGAGGATTGAATTGTGTGTTGCAACAAAAAAGAGAGAGTTATTGTTTATGCATCCAAATAGTTGAAACCACACGAGAGAAATTATTCTACTCATGATTTGGAGTTGACATCTATTTAATTTGCATTGAAGATATGAAGACACTATTTATATAAAGTGAGATGTTATATCCATACAAATCACTAGAGTTTAAGGTACATTTTCACTTTGAAGGAACTAAACTTGAGACAACAAAGATGGTTGGATTTGACCAAGGATTATGACCTTAACATTATGTATCAACTTGGTAATACAAATGTGATAGTTGATAATTTGAAGAGAAAATTTATTGGTGTGACATCTTGTTTTATTACATTTGATGAGACTCTAATTTGAGAGATGAAGATGTTGGAGTTGGAAGTTATTAATTTTATTGATGTGAGTGTAGTAGTTTCATAAATGATTGTTCAAGCTTCTTTGTAGGAGAGGATTAAGAGAGCTCAAAGGTTAGATGACGAGTATTTCAAGCTTCTTTGTAGGAGATGATTAAGAGAGCTCAAAGGTTAGATGATGAGTATGCCACAATAGTTGATCGAATTAATTCAAGAAGAAAACCTAATTTACATGTGAATGATCATGAGATGTTGACTTGTGGGCATCAACTTTGGGTTCCTGCTAATGATGATATGAGAAAAGAGATAATGCATGAGGCTCATTATTTTGGATATACATTCCATCCTGGTAGCAGTACGAGGTATCATGATTTGAAACTTATGTTTTAGTGGCTTGGATTAAAGTGTAAGGTGGTTGAGTTTATTTTGAGATGTGGGACATATCAGATGATGAAAACAGAGCATCAGAAACCTAGTAGTTTGTTGCAACCTTTTTCTATTCCTAAGTGAAGCAGAAGAATGCTACTATGGATTTTGCTATGGGTATTCTAAGGTCTAGGAAAGATCAGGATACAATATGGGTGGTGGTTGACCGGTTAATGAAGTTAGTGCATTTTCTTTCTATGAGACAATCATATTCAATTGTTAAGTTGACACATCTATACCTATTAAGATTGTTAGACTGCATGGGATACCAAAGTTCATTATTTTTTATAGAGCTGACATATTTACTTCTAGATTTTGTAGAGATATTCAAGAAGGTCTGAGATCTAAATTAAACATTAATACAACTTTTCATCAACAATAGATGGTCAGCCTGAGAGGATTATTCATGTGTTGGAGGATCTATTGAGAGTATGTGCACTTGATTTTGGTGGGAGTTGGGGGGATCATATTCCTTTGATTAACTTCACATATAATAATAACTTTCAGACAAGTATTGATATGACACTATATGAATCATTATATAGTAGAAGGTGTAGGACAACTTCATCTTGACAGAGGCGGGTTAAACAAGATTGATGAGCATTGAGTTAGTAGATGATGCTACTCAAAAGATTAGACTAATACAAGATAGATTGAGAGCAACACATGATAGACAGAGAAAGTAAACTTGATTGTAGAGTACTCTTAAATCTAATAATATAGCTTTTTTGGCATCTCTAGTTGCAGCTGCCCTAAACACACTTTACCCTACATTCAAAAGCGGGTAGTAGTCTTGGGAGTATGTGCAGTGCAATAGGGCAAAGTATGTTGTTAAAGCACCATTCACCGTTAAGGGGTTGTATGGTAGCCGATTTTAAGCAGGATTTAAGCTAAATCATACCAGCAATAAAAACGCCTTTGTAAATCTTGAGCTCCCATAAATTCCAAAATGGTCGATTTGCGATAAATTTAGAATTTACTAAATCTAGTGAATTGACAGATTTAATAAATCTAGGATGAGCCAACAGGGAGAATGACGCGAACATGCTTACATTCCTCAATGGTTTCTGGTAGGAGCGGAGTAGAAGGATGAGAAAGATAGGAATTTTAGTAGTCTTTGTAACCCGCACTCCCGTTGTTACCTTCCCAACTAGCTCTAATGACGACTATATTGCAGATGTTTATTCATCAAGGCGATGGTTTTGTGCAAAACTGGGAGGGGAGCGAGGCTTATGGACAAAGATTGGAAGTGTGGGCGAAAGCGAGAGAGGAGGAAGGAGCAGACAAGGGTTTCACGTGGAGAGGGGAAGAGAAAGATGAGTTTGTGGTTTTAATTTATTTTTATTTAAATTAATTCTATCAATTAAATTAATTGATTAGTAATTAATAAGTATTTTTTATTATTAGAAAATTAATTATAATTAAATAAATTTATTTGTAATTATTTAATAGTTATTAATGAATATAAATATATTTTAAAATTTAACTTATTTAGTAAAATTTTAAGTAATTCTTATTTTATATAATTAATAGTTAATTAATATTAAGTTATTATTTAATAAATAATTAGTTTACAAAAATAACTAATTATTAATATAGATAATTAATTATTAATTAACATAAAATGGCCTTTTTTATGCATTTTGAGTCTTTGAATACTCATTTATATTTTCTTTTATAATTTAATCTTTATCTTTTGATGTTTATTAAAATAAATTCTCCTAAATAAGCTCCTTCATTTTGATTTATTAGTATTTACTTATTAAACACCTAAAATTTGATAAATTCAAAGTTAGCCGATTTATTAAAATTTAATTTGCAGCCAAACAGCCCTTGTCACCGAATTACCCGTGCCTATTGTTGACAACAAGAATGGCGCTCCTCACAATTACGGCGAAGCGGAGGCTCCTATGCAGCATCTTACTCCTCCTTGCCACCTGGACGGCGGCGCTTGTCAAATGCGCCGCAACTGAAGAAGCCTCGCCTTCCTGCTCTTTCTCTTCTCCGGCCTTACACCACGATCATCACCATCATTTTCATCATCATCATCACGATCACGATCACGATCACGATCACGATCACGATCACAACGAGATTCAAAGTCGGAAGCTCCCAGAGGAGTTGGCGGAGGAGGAAGATCTAGCTCGGGAGCGATATGGCTTCCACCACCATCACCATTTTCACTCCAATGATGGTTATCAACATGAGATATCACATTTAGGTACTTGTTATCTAGTTGATGTAATAATGATCTGTTCAATATGGAATTCTATAAGAAATTCCATGATTTTTCACTTTCTGTTGGATTGGAATTGGAAATTGAAGGCATTTGGGTGCGGGCCATGGGATGCTCACTGCTTGTGAGCATGGCGTCACTGATCTGCCTCATCATACTGCCTCTGATATTCTGTAAGTGTCTCTTAGAAGTCTTTTTCATTGAGTTTTTATTTGATTTTTAGCTCTTGCAGTTGTTTGTTTTCAGAATTGTTTGAGCTGTCTTTTGGGTTCTTGCAGTCCAGGGAAAACCTTCCAGGGCAGTGGTAGATTGCTTGGCTGTCTTTGGGGTAAGTTACAAACTTTTCGAATCGTGGTGCAGTTGGAAGTCAGACCAACGTACTTAAGTTAGTTTTCTTTGTAAGTTTAAGCTGAAGATTATGATTTTACGTCTTTACAAATCCAGTTAAATATTCTTACGCCTTTATGATTGCTTCCGAGAAGTGTTTATTCATCCTTTTTCATTAGGAAGAATAGGACTGTGGTGTGCGGGCTATTGAACTTTTGGGTTTTTAAAGAACATTGAAACCCAACATATTCACAAAATATACAACTCAAGACATTGGATTTGAACTCGTTGTTATGTGTAGAGACTGATTTGAAGAGCTGTATATAGAGACAGAGCACCTAGCACATGCGCCGGGCTGTGGGCGCATAAGCGCCTACTTGAATGAGAGTAGCATGCCCCAACCTATGGGCACATATACGGCCACTTCCGCTTTGGCTCATACAGAGAGGCTGGCGCATATTGGCGCATATGCTCTCAACATTAGCTGCTACGCTCCTTTCTTGCAGAAAGCTTGGTACATATGCGCCAGGGGTAGTTTTTGACGGGATTTAGTTTTTTTATCTCGATTTCGAGCGGTGTATCAGATGTTCCTACACAAGGCTTCTTCGATGAGTTACTGGTGAAGGAAAGGAGTGTCAGAGAGGACTTTTTTTGGGATCTCGGCATGTATTTTTCACATCAGATCAGAGCAAAAGAGTTTGGAGCGAGTTCTTGTAAATTTTCTTGTGTGTAGAGAGGAAATTTGAGTGTGTTCTTTGTAAACTCTCTGAAATTCATAGTGGAATTTTTTCGGTATTGTGGCTCAATGATTTTTTCTCGTTCTCATGCTTTTTCACATAAAATTTTTGTGTTCTTTTCTGGTTGCTTTGATTGTGCTTTCTATTTTGTTCTTTGTTTCGATTTTATCGAATTGGTGCGATCCTGTTATTTTATCGTGTGGTTTAGTTTTTAATTGATTCTAGGATTCGATAAAGTTGAGAATTGCTCTTGTGAATTTCCTATCAAACTGATATCAAAGTGATGTTAGATTCGAATGGGAGCTATGACCGAAGAAACAAGGTTCAAAGCGGAGAAGTTTAATGGGATGAACTTCACATTTTAAAAGATGCAGGTGGAGGGTTTGCTGTATCAGAAAAAAATTATATTTGCCACTACAAGGAATCACAAGGAAGGCTGAGTCTATTCTTATGGAGGAATGAGAAGCGTTGGATCAAACAAAATTGGGTTTGATCTGGTTGTCTATTTCAATATCTGTTGTGTTCAACATTGTGAATGAGAAAACTACGGTGAATCTCATGAAGACACTGACCAAGATGTATGAAAAACCTTCTGTTCCTAATAAAATTTTTTTCTGATGAAGAAGTTATTCAACATGAAGATGGTAGAAGGCAATTCAATGACAGAACATCTCAATAACTTCAACACTGTAATGAGTCAATTGCGTTCTGTGGGGATCAAGTTTGATGATGAGGTTAGAACACTGATGATACCATCTTCATTACCGGATAGCTGTGATGGTTTGGTAATGACGGTGAGTAATTCCTTAGAGACTTCGGAGTTAAACTTTGATGAGTTGGTGGGTCTAATGCTAAATGAAGAAGTTTGTAGAAAAACAACGAATGATGAACATTTAGGTTCTGCGTTTGAATGCTGATAACAGGCGAAAGAATCTTGGCAGGAATACATGTAGAGGCAGATTCAAGTCCAAAAAAAGAAATTTTAAGTCCAAAAAAAGAAAGCCCAAGTCAAGTAGAGGATAATGCTGGAACTGCGGTAAGAAGGGGTATTTCAATAAGGATTGCAAAGCTCTAAGGAAAGATGATGGTGGAGTACATGATAATAGTACTATTCTAATGTCTTTACTGGTGAAATCCAAAGTGACTCCCTCGTGTTATCCCTAGTCAGCACTGAATGTTGGATGGTAGCTTCAAATACCTTTTCTCATGCTTGCCCCAATAAAGAAGTGTTTAAAAATAACACTCAGAGTGATTTAAGGAAGATTTATTTGAGAGATAACAGGACTTACATCGTAGTAAGAAAGGGTAATGTTGATCTCTGGTTGTCAAATGAAACAGTCTGAAAGCTTACTTAAGTTAAACATGTTTCTGTTTTGAAGATAAATCTTATCTCTGTGAGCCAGCTGACAAAGTCAGGACTCGTGAGTACTTCCACAGGTGGTCCGTGAAAGGTGACTAGGGGCATTTGTGATGGCTCGGGGCAACATTGAACGCACCTTTTATCTGATCAATTTAGTGATTGATTTCATTGATGTTGTTGGAACCAGGGCAGATGCAGGTCTGTGGCATCGTAGACTTGGTCATATGAGCGAGAAGATATGAAGCTCCTACTTTCAAATAATAAACTTCAGTGTTTGAAATCAATTGATTTGGATTTTTGTGAATACCATATGTATAATAAGCAGAAGAAAATTTCTTTCTTTAAGAGCTGTTCAATGGTGAAATTAAAGACACTGGAGTCATAGCATATTGATGTATGAAGTCCTACTTCAGTTCAATCCACTCGCTATTTTATCATGCTTATTTATGATCACACGAGAAAGATATGAGTTTATTTCTTAAAACAAAGATTTGATGTATTTGAAGTCTGTAAAAAATAGAAGATTATAATAAAAAATGAGACAAAATTGAAGTTGAAGCGTCTCAAATCAGATAATGGGGGCGAGTATCGTGATCAGGAGTTCAAGAATTTCTGTGCTACAGAAGGGGACATAATGAGTTCATTGTCCCAAGGACATCGCAACAGAATGGTGTGGCCGAACGCATGAACAGAGCAATCACGGAGCGTGCTAGGAGCATGAAGTTGCATGCAGCTTTGTCAAAATAATTTTGGGCTGAAGCAGTAAACACTTTAGCTTATCTTTGAGGAAGACTTACCTGCAGAAGTTTGGAGTGAAAAAATGGTATGTCTATCTCATTTAAGGGTATTAGAATGTTTTGCATATGTGCCTGTTGATGCAGGGTCCATGACCAAGCTTGAATCGAAATCTGTCAGGTGCATCTTCATTGGATATGACTCAGATGAATTTTAATACAAGTTCTGTGATTATCAGAATAAAAATTCATCATAAACAAGGAATTCACATTCAATGAGATGTAAATGTTCAAGGACTGGGTCGGAACTCAAGATTGTCCGTCAGCTACTTCTGAAGAATTCAAATATATTGAGATAGAAGATACTGGTGATTAGGAGGATGAAGAAAAAAATATTGCTCAACTAGAAGGAGCATTGAAAGTTCCTGAATCACTTGCTACATAAGTTAGAAGATCTAGTAGAATGACAAGACCCGTACACATGTATTCTCCTTATTTAAACTATTTGTTACTAATTGATAGTGGTGAATCAGAGTGCTTTGAGGAGATCACTCAAGTTGAAGATTCAAGTGAGTGAGTGCTTGCCATAGATGAAGAAATGAAATCTTTATTGACGGTACTACCAAATGACAAAAGAGCAGTACACAACAAGTGAGTCTACAGGCTAAAAGAGGAGTCAGATGGTAGTAAGCGCTACAAGACAAAATTTGTTTTAAAGGATTTCCAACAGAAGGAAGGAGCGAATTACACTGAGATCTTCTCTCCAATGATGAAGATAATGATTGTCAGGGTTGTGCTGAGTCTAATAGCAGAAGAAAATCTACATCTGAAACAGATGGATGTAAAAATAATTTTCTTACATGGAGATCTGGGGGAGGTACTGTATATGGTGCAACCATAAGGTTAAAAGATTCCACGCAAAGAAGTTTGATATGCAGATTGAAGAAGAGCCTTTATGGCTTGAAACAGACCTCGAGACAGCGGTACAGAAGGTTTGACAGGTTCATTTCAGATAATGAGTACTTGAAGTGTCATACAAACCACTATTGCTTCATCAAACATTTCGATAACTGTTATATATTGCTTCTTTTGAATGTGGATGACATGCTGATTGCAGGGGTGAATATGGAGAAAATCAGGGACTTGAAGAAACAATTATTAAGTGAGTTTGAGATGAAGGATTGAAGTTTAACTAGGACGATCATCGCGATGAGAATCAGTAGGGACAGGAGTGCAGAAACATTGAAGTTGTTTCAGTTAGAGTATGTTGAGAAGATCTTATAGAAGTTCAACATGAGTGAGGTGAAAGCAGTTAGCACTTTTTTAGGAAGTCACTTTAAACTATCTAAAAAGCCATCGCCTAACTCTGAAGCAGAGCAAACACGAATGGAGAGAACTTCGCATGCTTCAGCAGTTGGAAGTTTTATGTATGAGATAATTTGTATCAGGCCAGATATTGCATATGTAGTGGGAGTGATCAGCAGGTACATGGGCAATCCAGACAAACATCATTTAAAGACAATAAAGTGAATTCTTAGGTATATGAGGGGAGCGGTCAACATGACACTTTATTTTGGAAGTGTAGAGATCAATCTATCGGGATTTGTAGATTCAGATCTGGTAGGAGATTTGGATATTAGAATAAGTACAACAAGGAATATCTTCACATTAGGGAGCACAACGGTGAGTTTGGTTTTCAGGTTACAAAAAATCTTTGCACTTTCAACTACGAAGGCCAAACATATTGCTATTACTGAGGCTAGCAATGAGATGATTTGGCTACAAAGTTACATGGTAGAATTGAGCTAGGAGCAGGGTATTGAAAAGCTCTATAGTGACAACATGAGTGTGATTAATCTTGCTAAGAATGCTACTTTTCATGCCAGGATGAAATACATTCAACTGTGGTATCATTTTATTCGCACTTTTCTTGAAGATGGGCAGTTGTTTCTGACGAAGATACAAACAGTTCAGAATCTTATGGATATGTTACGAAGGTGTTGACCATTTAGAAACTAAAGCTATGCTTGGCTTCGGCTAATTTCATGAAGGTTGAGACCAGGGGTGTGCCACACCATGGTACGTGATTATGAAGACGATTCAAATGGAAGTGCTGGTACAAAAGATTTCTGTTGGGTGCAATCAGTCTACAAGTAGGAGATTGTTATGT